GAAATGTCATAACTCTCTTGGATTTTTAGACATAGAAGACGTTTTCTTAGACACACTTATGCGTTAACTTATCGAAAAAGTGAAAACTGGTCCGGATAGAGTTTCTTTTTAAGAAGAATCCAAAGGCGTAGTTAGTTTTGATATACAAACTTAATTTGTGCTTTTTTTTTAATGTAACACCCTGTATATTTTAATAATTTTATTAGGCTTATCATGAGCTTTTCAAAAATATGTAATAAACTGAGTGGCAACGAAATTACTGGCCACAGCGGCATTTTAAAATAAAAATATGCAATTTAGTAAGTTCATAGGGTTGAATATTGTGAACATTTGTAGCATAAAAACAATTGAATGTCGTTTCCGGTATTAGCTGAAATAAGCTCAACTTTGTTATCTTTTTTTTTTTTTTGAAGTCGCAAAATAATTCTAAGCAACTTTTGTCTAATATACTCCGTGTCTAAAATTAATAGTTTTTAAAATGCAGCCGTTCAAAAATGTACTATTTACTATAATATTAAGATATTTTGATTTTATGAAAAAACCAACTAGACCAAAACAAAAAATATTACGATTAGTTAATCTTCATTCAATGAATCATTTATTTCTGGGCCTTCACTGACAATAAAGATCTTCATTTTCAGGAAGGTTTCTAAAACCAACCAGAACGGAAATTAAGATGAACTAGGTGAAATTAAATTAGGATACCGCCGATTATACATTATTTTAGCTTGTTTTCATTGAAAAGACATTCACCGTAAATAAAGAGAATTTCTAATTTTTCAAAGAAACTTCCACAGGCTATTGTAATACTTTTTACAAAACTTCTGGATTCCTCCTGCGTCGGTTTTTGCTGAGTCGAACTTACTGACGTTTCCCCAATCATCATCCTGTGGGCTTCGGCAGAGCTTGAGTGAAACTGGCTCGTATTTTACTCTGTACCTGCTTATATATTGTTTGAGGGGGCGGAGCTAAATGAGGGGGATAAACACCGTATCGGATGACTGATTCCCATATTGGTGATTTTTTGTTGGTAGAAGAACTGATTACATGCAAGAATTTTTGGTTTTATCGAATAAAATTTTATGTCGGGTTTCATGAGTGTGTTCGACAACAGCTGATGAGTTTATTTGTCTTAGTCGTAAGGCTCTTTCGTGTTTTTTGAGTCTAGTTGATATTTTTCGTCCGGTCTCTCCACTGTATTCTTTGCTGCATCTGGTTTTCAATTTTGCAGGAGTTACGGATGTGGAGTTTATCATAATTGGATGCAGGATAAAAAGGTATATTTTGAAAAATCTATTCACGATAACTGCAGTGTTTTTAAATGGCTACGAATTTTGTTTTTGATGTTTTATTGAATTATGTTTTAAATGAGGCGTAGGTAACCGTAACATTTCTTGTTCTTATCTTGTATCTTAGAATTTGTGACATATTGTTGTGCAGTTTTATTTAAAAAACTAATGATTTTCGACATAGAGTTTGTTTGACAAAAGTTGTTTCGCATTGCTTAGCGAGTTCAAAAAATTAAGAATATACAGGATGTTTGATTTAAAATAACAAAGTTGAGGTTATTTCCGGTGATGCCGGAAACACAACACAAAGTTTCTCTGCTATAAATATTTAAAATAGTCAACCCTATCGATATAACAAATTGTATATTTTTATCGCAATAAATTTTGAAATGCCGCTGTGGACAGTAGTTTCGTGATCACCCAGTATAAGAGGAATTTTAAATACAAATTATATGTTAATTTTGAATTTTTTTATGAGCAGGCTATAGGTGTTCCCTTTTCTAATATACTTTAGTTGCCGAACAGACCTGACATTTCGCAGTCATTATTACAATTTCTGCTTTCTCTTCCTTCTGCTATGACTGATATTAACCCAAAATGACAATTATGAAAAATAGGATATTATGGGGGTGTATTATGCCCAATTAATGTTGTACACACACACTTCTTACTATTAAGAAATTTAACAAAATTAATAAAATATATACAATGTGTTTCGATAAAGGGATCAAAATATTAGTTTATATATCAAAATTTCTGAGTTTACGCATAATCGAGGGTTCCCAAAAATTCAAAATTTCCAAAATCACCTAAAAATTCAAAAAGTCTGTAAGCTCTCATTATTCGCTAAGGGTAACTTTTTACAAAGATTTTTGAAATAATTATATTTTCGGAAAATAGTGCATTTAGTAAGTATTAATTTGACACTTTTTAACCTTAAACCACATCAGAAAATGTTTTGAATTTGCATTTTAATATTGGTGCAATGCAATTGATGAAATTATCGTATTATTTGACTGATTTAATGTTTTACGAATTTTTTTAAATTTCAATCTAAATATTTGCTTGTACTGGGCCTCCAAACGAAAACTAAATGATAACTGTGCTTTTTAAAACTTACATCTTAACGTCAATAATAATAATAATAATAATAATAATAATAATAACGCTTTTTGTCTAACAGACAGATGCTGTCCGATTATAAGACAATGTTCTCGACACACCAGTTTTGCATAAAACCACTAAAAATAGTTAAATATACTTGAGAAAATGATAACAATAAAAACTATAAAAACTATTGAACATGCAGACCATTCAGGTATTGATTAAGAGTCTTTTTAGATTCGCCCAGACTGGCGTTGAAGAGATCTACTTCAGATTCACTCTCAAGCTCAAGTGGGGCCCTGATTCCAGCATTGGTAGTTGTAGTTGGTTGAAAGAAGCGACCGTAATTTTGTGCATTAAAAGAAGGCACACAAAAATTGAGTTGCTGCAGTAGCTCTGGAGAATCGATGAGGCCATTGCATAATTTATACAGAAATACCACGGAGGCGCCCACCCTCCCAGATATTATAACAAAGGACATAAATAGAATGAGATATACAAAAAAGTATTTGATAAATTCAGATTGACTGGTTTGAAATAACTGCAACTCAGCAGGTTTTATGTGGCATGACAGAAGATATTCAAAGTCTGTATTTGAAAAAATAACCTGTTCCACGACTTCTCTTTAGATTCAATAGCACTTCTCTTTCTTTCGTTTCTATTCATATTCTCCCATTCTGGAAATAGACGAATCTCGCAAGTTGTTGCGTAATAAAATTATCGAAAAAATAATTGGACAGTAGGAGAACATATCTTTGAAAATTCAGTGTAAGCATCAACAAACCAACAAATAAACAACAATGTTAAAAATTGTTATCTGACATCTATTGTGTCCAATTAAGTCAGCATATTCCCATAAGGTTTACTATGTCATCTTTTTCTCACGACGACGATTCCTAGATTTGCGCTTTTAGGTGTTCTCATTCTCATGGATTCATCGCCAGCTTTTAGAAGATCATAAATGTGCGTCAAATACGAGATATATTTGAGATTTATCTTAGCTCTCTTGAGAACTAAAATTGATTCTAAAAACAAAACTCCGAGTTTCGGTACCCAAATTTTATTTTTTTTTTAATTATGAAAAAAAGTTATTATTTGTAAAAATGGTCTAAAACTGGAAATACAATCATCAGATACAAAGTTTTGGTTACTTTGGCGGCGAGATATTAAACTACTAAGCTTATTTGACCAGTTTTGTCTGCCAGAAATCTGTGGCGCGCGGTATAGTGAGAAAACTTTTGCTCTGACCGTTTTGACCAAAAAGTGCCGTTGATCGTATAGCTACACGAGTGGTTATCATCCCAAAGTTCGTTTCCTAGCGGACAAAACAAGCCGTATACAAGATTTGTCGAAAAATATAAATTTTAAGCCAGAGTGAAGTTTACAATTCTTTTCAAGAAAAGATTATTATTAATTGAAAACGATATTCATATATTCAATATTATCTATCTATATATCGCTAATGATTATTCCCAAAAGAAATCAGCATGTCAGGAAAGCACTGCAGATTTGATGATGGGTTGGGCTTGGCCCTTGCTAGATTTCAAGAATTTCATTAAGTTTATACAAGGGGAGTGGTTAGTCAGTTGAAAAGGGAAATCGCGCAGTGCGCAAATATAAAAGGAGAAATTACATAAATTATTAGTAATAAGTATAGTGAATAGTAGATTAGTAGATCTTTGTTATTTTGGAGGCAATGAATTTTCAGTTCATTTAAGTTGAAGAGCTTGTCGGACAATAATTTTTACAACTGAATATTCACTTAACATTAAACGTCAATACTTTATAAACTCTCAACTTGTCTCTTATTCCAAAACATATATCTTTTTCCCGCATCAAATGACAAAAAGGTGCACAACTATGGTTTTTATTTTTTTATTGAAAAACGAGATAAAATACGAAAACAAATCAAGGTTAAAAAAAGTTATATTGTTAGTCACATTTTCAAATTAAAAAAAAAAATAATTCCAGTGGCGTATATCTCTTTGACAATACTATTCGTTAATATACCTCCCGGGATGGCACTGTAGTTCACGATTTTGACAGTTAAAGCAAAATTAGCCCTGAGTGTGCCAAATTTCCACGGACAAAAAATATTTATCATATTGCAAAAGAAAGAATATTTAACACTATATCTTGGAAACTGGACCTACGTTTAATAGACAATAGACATGAACCGAAAGATGTTCGCAAATAAAATCCAACGGTCGATGTTTTCAAAAATAAATTTCGCATTTTTCAACAAACATTGTGTATAGGTCAAGAAGTTTTACATCTATATTTCGAGTTTTAGATATAGAACTATTAATAAAGAATACGTTTTAAGAATAAACGAAAATATAAAATATCCAAAATTTAGCGTAAGACGCAAACATTTTAGGGAAAATCAAAATCCAGAAGTCTCCACGCTCGGGAAATTGAGTAATCCAATTGTTCGCTCGCGCCTTCGAACCGTCAAGTCCGTTCTAATTTGGAGGGCGGCGATCTCTATAATCTACGCGTTAACGTTAACGCTGCTTAAGATGCATCGTATTCCTCCGGGATTTTATCGGAGGGTTTTGGGTCTGAGACATTTTCGAGATAATTAATAGTCAGTCAATTACTTACAATTAATGTCCAGAACAACGGCTCGGCTCTCCGGTGGCACGATGTTGTTGTTGCTGGCCTGGCAGATCAGTCTTGCATGTAAATGTTGGCGACCGACGTTGGGAAATGTGAGGTGATTGACGACTACTCCGTCGGACCGATTCTCGTAGGAATCGTCGATCACCGTGTTCTCCAGAAACCAAATTACCCTCGGCCTCGGTCTGCCTGTCAAAATTTAAACGATAGCTTTCTTAAAGTTTCTTGCAACGGTGACTAAAAGTGTTAAAAGAATGCAGATTAACATAACAAAACGCAACTGCTTTTTAATGCTCATACTTTGGTTGTACTCGTAGCCGCAATTGCTAAAATCCTTTCACCGATATTAGCTATTAGATTATATAGATACCGTAGGTACGGTAAAATTGATACACGTCAGGAAACTATGACGTTTTCGTACAACAGATACATCTAAATCTAAAAACACTTATCTGTACTTTGCGCCATTTGAAAATTTAATAGGACGTGGATGTGTTCAACCAATAGTTTTTGATGTTGGTTTCAAAAGTGTGAATTAACAAAGCATGTCTACAAGTTGAGGCTGATTTGTTTAAAATAAAGGGTAGTTTCTTAAATAAACGTTCGTTCAAAAGCTTAGGGAGATATCGCGCTATAAATTTGTCTAAAAATGTTTTAATTTTTTATGTTAAAATCTGGGATTGTATTAGACTACGACTATCATTTATAATTAAATTTAAAGAAAAATTTACGCAATGTCATCGAAAAAATTTGAAACCTTTTTGTCTGCAACGTGAAAATCTGAACTTTTAGTTCTTATTTATTTTGATTTGATTTGATTTTCATCAAGTGGAAGCCACCTCAGTTCAAGAGTTGTCATAAAACTTACAGTTTCCAACTAAGAATATAAATTTAGTCGGGTGCTGTCGAGCAGTTGTATTTTGTACTAACATTTGTCAACTATCTTTGACACAATTTTAAAAATAATTTATTAACAAACTTTTCTAAAATTAATGTAATTACGCGCAAACTATGAACTTCTGTAAAAACTATGTAATTACAAATTTTATAGTAAGTGTTGAAAATGCCTATCTTGCGATATAATACATGCATTTATTCTATGCACCTGGCTAACTTGTTCAAGAGTAGGAAATTATGTATAACGTTTGGAACAAACAATAAGTACACTGAACAATTTTTATTAAAAGTTAAGGTTCTAATAGATTATTTTTCTAGATCACAGGTTTCTGTGAGCTATAAGTTGTAATGCAGTTTATATTTAACTTGTCAATTAAGCATCCTTCGACTGTCACTTTGTTTAGCGTAGTTATTACAACAACTTCTACCCCCAATCTGACAACACTGTATTAAATATGAAGTAGAAATGATACTACACTAACATTTATCCAACGGTCGATCATTTCATTCGATGATATTGGACAATATTTTCCTTTACCAAATCTTCCATTTTCTCATTCTCAGGCATCTATCTATTAACCATGACTACAGATTCCAATTTTTTGAGATTACACAATGGAAAAGTGTTGAACGCAGGGAGTATAGTTACAAAAAGTTTAATATTCCTCATTTGGTGCTAGTAACCTCTCACAAGTTACCATCCGCAAGTTGTAAGGTCGTCAGGCAATGGACAATCATCTTTTTATAAAAAGAAGTAGTGCAATACTCAATAAAAAAATTGACACAGTATTAAAACTTTATATCATCTAGCAAAAATTCTTGATTCTTTCAGGGCTAGATGTCAAACAGCCGGTCGAAAACTATCGCTACCAAACAAAAAATTAAATAAAAAACAAAAAATAATGAAGTGAGACCAAAACGAAAACATTGTGACAAAATTTCTGTTCAGTTCTGTTTTGTTTCAGAAATCTTTTATACGATGCATAGTTTTCTGCTAAAAGCATCATGTTTCGTCATATAATTAATCGAGAACACCGCAGAAACGGGTTACAAATTTTGCACAGTTAAATGATGTTAGTTACATAGTTGTTACGTGATCAGGAAATCAAAATAAACGAAACGGTAAGTGTAAGTGTACACAAAGGCATCAGCATAGCAATAACTACAGTAACTGGCTCATGTACATATATAATATACAGTACATGTGAAGTTTTTCCATTAAAAAAACAATCGTTGGGAGGATCTGTTACCTTTAAGCATATGGGTTTTAATTCAACGAAAATAAAGTATTTCTCCATCGGGTTGTAAACTCATCGTATTCCTCTCTGAAACATAGTTTACCCTATTCAGATTTCACATTCCTAGTTGTTTATTATGCAGGCAAGTATTCAGATGTATTTCCCATAGGAACGTTTTTGTTCCGTGTGTAACGGATCCTCTCAAAGGATATCTCGGCGAGTGGCAAAATAAAAATCATTGATTTTTTACTTCTCCTCCAATTGCCTGTTTCGTAGGCCCGAATAAATTTTTTATCGGGTTTTACTACATTTTGTATATAACAGCTTTAGGTTTTCTATGTTTTGATTTTCTTTATTTATTAGTTTGATTAAATACTAACTTAACCTAAGTGTGGTGTCGTGCATCTGAGTTTTGACCAACAAGACATCTCGGGCAAGATAGACAGTCAGTATATATTAAATGTCAGATAGTATTAAATGTCGCGCATTACTCCGAGGATTTCCCCGTATATTTATGTATTTGAAATTTCGTTACGCATTCGAAACGAGTTATATAGGTTTTTGCAGCAGTTGCCCAGACCGACTCTGCATATTCCAATATGCTACTTACATAAGCTTCAGATTCCTCTGAAGGGGAGATTCTGGGACAATATATGGCCTTATAGAACTTTTTGGTATTTTTGCTTTGCATGTCGTTTTATTTATATGTATTTAAAAATATAAATTTCTGTCCAAAATCACTACGAGATTACTTCTTCTTTACAATTAATTTGTGTATGTTGTGGCAGAGGGTTTCAATTCTTTATATTATATAAAATTTTTAAAGATGTTTGCTTTAAAAGATTTTCTGTGCAGCGTCAAATTTTAGCATATTGCTTCTTACGAAGGAAAAACTTTCTGGCCTTGTTTTAGGGACGAGGCTAAATAATGTATTTTCCGTCAAACTTTCGATCCAATAAAAGTATTTTTCCGGGCGACAAAAAATTCTCTTGTCGGAGAAACAAACATTTGGGGAAAATTCAAAATCTAATTTGCAGGAACATATTGGGCAAATGACACGCGCAAACAAAATAAAAAGACTTACCTCCTTTCACTTCGCAAAGAAGGTTTACGTCGGTGCCTTCGTTATAAGGTCCTAATAATACTACTTTGTCTATCCTTTTGTCGTCGTATATGTGTATCTTCTCTGGAGGCACTGAAAATAAAGAAAGAAATATGATTTTTTCAAGCCGCAGAAATTCGTGGTGTTACGATAAAATTAGACGGTGTGGGTTGGCTGTGAGAATGCACGAAATATAGAAAAGGCAATAAGTTAACAAGCTCCATAGTACTGCACAACAGAGATACCCTATGGTGCTACGGAGATCAGTTTGATGGTTACCGATTTAAAATATAAAAAAAATTCGTTCTGCTGCTAAATATTCTCTTATCAGACGTGCCACTTTTTGTTAAAATTAAAAATGGCACTAACAAAATTACCCCAAATTGCCATCTATTCCCGTCTCAAATCTAAACCAACTGAAACGGGTTATTCGGATTCAAAAAGTACGCAGTTTATGAATATACCATTTTTACCAGATACTCTGGTAATCAGAATGTAGCACATAGTTGTTAAATTAGCAATTTTTAAACTCTTATGATAACCACGATAACCAGCGTATTTTCCATTGAATTTGTTTGTCCAGAAGTTTTTCCAAACGTATGCTGCCTCTCGAGGATGGTCGGATAAACAAAAGTTACCTTTCAAACCGAACTTTATGCAAGCGTTTCGAACAAAAGGTAGAGAAGTTTAAGTGGATCCCAGAAAGGTCTAAAACGAGGACCGGTTAAAGAATAATGACGCTGGAAATTGCCAGATAAAAGATGGCATGGCTTAACCGCACAGGAAAACGACCAATATATACAATTTAGCTGTTCGTTTCCCTTCCTCGTCCATTTCGTATTGTCGCAAAAATGTCTCCGACTACCGAAAATTATTATTATTAATGGCGATTTGAGTGTGTTCTGGCTTCCAGATTATTTGTCCTCAGCTCGAGGGAGGAATTTTTGTTTTTATGGAATTATGAGGGCTTCTTGAGAATTATTTATGACCGCGTTTTTATGAGCTGAGCTTGCGGCTGCTGGTGTGTCGATTATTACGGTTTATTATTTATTTTGAAGGAAGAATATAAAAAATGAATTATTAAATTTTCACAGCGAAAACCATCATCAAAAAGGAGTTGCTATAGAGATCCAAAAGCAAATGGAACCTCATTTCAATTCATAAATATGACATATAAACAACTGTTCCAAATTTTTTGTACATGGTTATTCATTATATTTCGACACCCACCTTAAGGGTTAAAAAAAAGTGAAAATACAAAAGTTTGAAGATGTTTGCTCTATTATCTTATGCAAATGCCAGAAAAAACAAACTACGATAGGAAGCTGTCAGAATGACAGCAACATCTAGATCGTTTTTTCCTGATTTCAAAAACATAACAAAAGTGGTGAAGTCTGCCTTGATATCAGCCAGATTATCTATGTTTGTAATTGTTTTAACAATGTTCTATTTTTGACAACTAATCAAAGATCTGCACCGTCAGTTAAATAACTTAACATATTTCAAAGAGGTTATACTGAGGAAGAAAAACGCCAAATACTAAAATTATATTATTCAAAAGGACATAATGTTTCAAGGATTAAAAGAGAATAGAGAGACAGATATATTCGGATAGAAGACTTTCTTCAATAAATAGAATTAAAAATGTAATTAAACAATTTGTGGACCGAAATAGCGTCACACGGAAGGCCAGGGCATAGAAAGAAATTTTGATGAAGACCTCAATATATTACTTTACAAGGTAAATTATTATACCATTACGATACTTGACATCATGACTTTGAGTTCTACTTTCTTAATTTTTATATTTCATATTTTTTAGAAAATCTTGAATATTTTATACCTGACGTGTGGTATGTTGAACAATATGTTGGTCGGACCAATTATATACGAAGGATCCTTGAATGTTTAAAATTTCCTTGCAACAGTAATATAACATTGGTTAGAAAATGTGAGAGTTAGGAATTATTTAAATTTAATTTGGCATCTAGATCGTGTAGGTAGAGAAAGAACTATCAAAGGGCCTGCCAACAGCCCTGACCCGAATCCTTGTGACATTTTTTGTGGGGATACTTAACAAAAAATTTATTATAATTGGCCTCCAAGTGATAAGAGAAAGACATAAAATCGTTTTGCAAGATCTAAACAGAGAAAACTCTGATTTTATCACCTCGTGTATTAAAAGGCAATTGAAAAGAAATATTGTCCGATGTATAGAAAATAATGGAGGTTATGTGGAAAATGTTTACCATAATTATTGATGTTTCTATTGTTTAAATAATATAATTATATTATTTGGCGTTGTTCTTCCTCAGTATAACCCATTTGAAATATCGTATTTAACTTATACTGGAGATCTTTAGTTTTAATTAGTTGTTAAAAGCAGAATATTGTTATCACAATTGCAAACATAGATAATATGGTTGTTATCAAGGCAGCCTTGATCACTTTAAAACACTATGGCAATTGTCTAGAAATCGAATGATTATTATTTTTAAACTGAAATATCTCAAAAACGGCCAAATGAAATGTCAATAAACTCTACGTTTTTGAAATCAGGAAAGATCTACGATTTAAGCTAATAATATATAGGGCATTCCATTAAAAAAAAAAAGATGTTGCTGTCACTTTGACAGCTTGCGTTCGTCGTTTGGTTATTCCTCACATTTGCATAAGGCAATACAATAAAAATCTTCAAACTTTTATATTTGCACTTTTTTTCTATCTTTAAAAATTAACCATGTTAGTGGGTGTCAAAATATAATTAATAACCCTGTACGGCCATTATAGGTGTTCCCAATTACATAACTTATGCTTAACACTGCTAATTTCGAAGATGCTGTATGTAAAATTTCAGAACATATATAACTTTAATAAAATTAATAAAATAAATAAAAAATAAATAAATAAAGTGCACTTTCTTATTTTGTAGAGTAAAATAATAACATCGTATAAGCCAAATTCGCCTGCTCAACGCTAAAGTTAAAAGTTTGGTTCTCTATTGAACTTCTGTAAACAAATTAAAGTAAACTATAAATAAACTTCAAACAGTAAAGCTTTAAATGTGGGAGTCTGAAAAATATTATACCTTTTTTCGCAAAAATAGCTGAGATCTCTTTTGAAAGCTCTTCCGTTTGTGTATAGACTATAAGTGGATTTAAACAAAAATTATCTCTTATCCATAGAATACATTAATAGACTTTAACGGAGTCAGTCATTAGTCCTTGATCGTAAGCAAATTACAAATTTAATGTCGATTCGAATGCTCTTTTAATAAAAATTGGGAAAGTTTGCGGTTGAAATTTTCACCAGTGATTTCTACCGAAAGATCAAAGACGAAAACTCAAACTTCAAAAGGTTGTTTCTACAACGTAATTTATTTACTTTATTATTTGTTGACTTACTTACAAAATGATTATAATTAAGGATATTTATGCTTAGAAACTTTATACCGGAAAAGTTGTAGAAGTTTAATTACTCAAAAACTTGGGGGGGTTATTAAGATTCAAAACAAATATGTATTAAATCCAATTTATTTAGCATTTCCTAACATTGGTTCCGCTTGTACTGGGGTAAATACTCGGCCCACATAAAACTTGTTCATGTGGATTAGATTTCCTAAAAGTTGTAAATTAAAACGCACATGATTTCCCAACACTGAAAAATGTTTCGCTATATTTTGCTTTATCCGAAATTGTTTAAAAATATTGCAATTTTAGTTTGGACGTTAATTTACTGCACCGTTTTTGCATTATTGTCGATTACACAGATTTATATTTATGATTGCGAAAACGATACCAACCGTTTCCAATCAAATTTCATAACTTCGCATTCGGCAGTTAATTTGTAGATTAAATTTGTTTTTATGCAAAATAAATATGCTTGCACGGAATTAATTTCACTGGGACTGATACAGCGGCGGTCGTTAAAACAGAAACCTAAAACTAACAGCCTCAAAATATTAAAATAAATTTTCAAACGTATGATTGTAATTGATTATTGCAAAATACGTATTTAGTACTGACACTGTTGTGCTTTTAAGTGTCAGCTCTGAATACGTTGGACATTATGAAAGTCCTAAAGACCTGCACACCGATAATAAAGCCAAGATATAAAAATTCAATCCGCTATTAAGGCAAAATTAAGAATTTGAAATTTAGGAAATTTTCAATAGAGAATGAAATATTATTAATGAATTGATGGTTACGGCAAGGGAAGTCGAACAGTAAAAAAGATGTATTTCACAAAAAAACCCTTATTGGAAGGTCCGCCTCTTCTTCACACAGAAAATAATCAAAATCCCTTATTTATGGGATATTCACAGGGTGACTCAACCAAGATGGTTTAGTTAATAATTATTAGAAAGAAACTACCTTGGAAACTGCAGACACTGACTAGTAAATTAAGAAAAATGAAAAAATTATAAATAATAAAACAAGTACAAATATAAGTGCAACACGATTTTTAGAAATTAAATTTATATATTATATAAGTTTATATATTACATAAGTTTATATATTATCAGATTATCCGCTATCGATGGGTGTACGGTAAAAACAAAATTTAATAATAAAACTTTTTTATTCTATTATTACTAATTAATGTAAGTTTTAAAGAACATTAATTTTGAAAAACTGTTACAGGTATCAAAAAAATGCTCGACTTTGTTCGGGATACTTTTGATAGTAATGTTGATAAATGGTTTTTTTAATGACCTTGCATAGGGATGATAAGCATCGTATAACTTGATAAAAACAGAGAATGTAAAAATTATAAATTTCATGCTGCGTATTTTTGATATCGAACATTACCAAGAGATATTTTGTTTTTATATCGAATTGTCTTATTTTAAAACAATATCGAATTTGGGAAAATATGGGAATTTGGGAAAATATGGGAATTTATGACGGTCAGCCATATCGGTTCATGGTGAAGTTTCTTGAAATTTTTGTTATGAAATCTTTGAAAGTTTTAAAATTTAATATGTTTGCTCAAAGTTATGTTTTAAAAATTGTAATTTTTAAAGTTATACTTATTTTTGCTTAGTTTTCGTTAGTTTTGAAATCTTTTATTGGGGAAACTAAACATTTATT